ACGGGTCAGACAGATGATCTCACCAAGGACTGTGCCCTGGCCCTACAATTAGAAGGAACTTCAGGACATTTCACAGATACCATTGAGGAATACCAGAAGCAGAAAGCCCAGATCTGGATGCAGGCTCCTGACACGGAGGCCTGGCCCTAACTGACCAGCTGCTTGTCCCCTGTTTTCCTCAGGGACTTGCTTAACTTCTCTGTGCTTCAGTTTCTTCTATAGAATTAATATCGTGGTCACATCCTTTCTTTCTGAGTTGGTCGAGCACATGAGCATTCTTATTGCTGGTAGATCGGCCTTGGCAACATTCCTGCTGGGCTACTCAGAGATTTTGCTGTGCTAACCAGCATGGCCATGGTCAAGGCCAGGAAGGCAGGGCCTTCAAGGCACCATCTCATATGGTCCCATGGAAGTCATTTTAATCTGGATCCCAGGACTAGACGTTTTCTGAATCCTGGAAGAACTGACAACCACAGAGATGTCGTGAACTGCCCAGGGCCACATAACAAAACACACAGCTGCAGTGCTGAACTAGTCAGGGACTCCCGACACGTTCTGGAGCCCTTGCTAGCACATCGCTATTTGACCTGAAGAGAGGCAATGATGGAACAGCTAAGAGGTACCCACAGTTCGCTCAGTGCCAGCCTAGACACTGTGCTGGGCTCCCCAGATTCACCACCTAATTACTGGTGACAGTTGCATCACCAAATCTAATGTGCTGAGCTCAGAGAGGGCCAGTGCAGCCTGTGAGCAGCAGGGTCAGGGCTCACACCCATGGCTGCTCAGTTAACTTCCCACACGACATGTATGGTAAATGTTCAGTGACAGAACCCATACCCTGAGCTGGGACCCCGGCCTCACCCTACCTCGCTCAGCGTGGCCAAGCTTGGGTTCAGACTCTGAAGTGTCAATGCTGGTATGGCCTGGGAACAGACCACTCAGCACCAGCCACTTGTGCCGAGTGGTTTTGGCTAGACCTGGGCAGGCTGGATGCCTCTGTCGTCTGCCTACAATCATGGCGAACCCTTGACAAGCTCCATGCAGGCTCCCTCTTCAGTCAAGATGCCACTGTCATTCTACCAAAAGACTTCTTTGTCTGTGGCCCACGTGTTCCCTGCCCCAAACAGCACTCACTGTCTTCTGGCATGAAGAGCCCCTCTGTTCAAAGGGTATCTGGTAGGGTTCAGGGCCTGCTCAGCCAACTGAAACTTGCTTTCCGTGGCCCTGTCTCTCTGAGGTCATCGTGGTAGCTGTGCACACGCCCCGACCTAGTGACAGCTGTTCTGGTGCCTGCCTAGCTTGAACCCTTAAAGCTCAGGGAACTACTGCCTACCCCCACACTCCTTCCTTCTTCTCTCCTGTCTCCCTCCCTGTCTCTTTTAATCACATTTTCCCCGTTCAGCCTTGGGGAAAACACGGAATGTGTCTCATAGGTTAGGTAAGAACCTGGTGACCTCTGGGGCTGGATTCACCTGTCATACACATTTTGAGCTCTGGGACATGAATGTCAGCTCCTTCCTCACAACAGCTGTGACGTCCCCGCTATAGACAGAGGCATCTCCAGAGGGTATGCCATGTCCTCCTCTTCCAGTCTCTCTCTCTCTCTCTCTCTCTCTCTCTCTCTCTCACACACACACACACACACACACACACACACACACACACACACCGAGAAGCCTTCTGCTGTCAGGGGGCTGGAGGAATTGACATCTTGGACGGTGCCCAGCACTGAGTTGTTGCTCATTAAAATTCATTTTTCTTTGCCGCTTCCCAGTTGATGGTGGGAGCTTGGAGACCTCCACAAATCCACAGGCTCCAGAAAGAAATGGCTGGGAGTTAACTGCAAAAGGGTGATGGCAGAATGCTGTCATATGCGAAAGTCTGGTCTTGTCGAATCTCGCCCCATCTTGCCTGGGCATGGATCTGGCGTGGAGAAGAGCCTCTTGGAATGCCTGGTGCTAGACAATAGGCGTGGGTTGTCTGACCAGCTCAGAAAATGAAACCACGGTTCTCTTTCCCCAAATGTAACCCGGTTGTGGCCACCCACGGCCGAGTGTGCTTTCTTGGGATTGCTCTTGTCTCTCTGAACTTGGGCGTTGGCTTATGGACAACAGTCCTGTTTTTTTTTTTTTTCTCACCTTCCGTTCATCTGTTCATTCAACTGCCAGCTGAGTTTCTGCTCTGAGTCACTATCAGCAGAACAGGCTAAAGCCCCCGTCTGCGCAAGGCTTCTATTCGGATAGTTTCCCCAGCCCCCACGGGGGCCCGGGGCAGTGTTCCTACTGAAACCTTCCTTCCTCGTCCATAGTGTGGGGGTCGGACCAGCCTGAGGATTTCCAGGGCCGCTCAGGAAGGTAATTGGGCTAGCAGGGAGCCGGCTGGATGGACCATCTGAAGTAGCTCCCAGCATGGATTAGGGGTCACACCACCATGTGACAGTGTCTCCATGTTGGCCAGGGCCTCCTTATCATGTGCCGACTTCCTCTGTGTATCCATGGATGCCCCCAACCTGGGCTTCTCTCTTTCCTGGCGCCAGACCTTCGTTCCCTTGGCCTTGTCCCCCGTTCTACTTTGACTGTGTCCTGTCTGCTTAATCCAAGGGTCTTTACTTATTCTAGTATTTCTCCCATTCTGAGGGAGGCCCTGCCTCCCTCCCCACCTTTAGATAGGGTGAGGCCTGGGCTCCCACGCATGCTGGCTGTGGAGTACCAGCTCTGCTATATTCTTATTCTAGCTCTTGTTTCAGCAGGAGACTCACTGTCTCTGGACAGCAGGCCTCTTGGCCTGACTCAGTCATCATGGGAGTCCCTTTCTCCTCACCCTTCAAACACAGCCTCCTAAGTCTCCATGAACCGTGAGCCTTCCAGTCTCCCATGAACCCTACTCTGACAAGGCCTGTCTAGCCTCTCCCAATTCCTTTGCGCCCCTGCACTTGGACCACGCTGCCCTCACGCAGCTTCCTCACAATTTAGCTTCTGGGTCCTTCCTGTATCTCCATTACTGCAGTTGTCCTCTATGGCCGTTCTCAGCTTGTCACCAAGAGCTCGTTCCGCTGTCAGTGTCTAGACATATGACACGGTGGCACAGGTAGTGTCACTAGGGGTGCTGAGGCTTGTAAGGTGGATGCTTTATTGTGAGGGCAAGGGTCTGGGCCTGTCTGTGGGCTGCTGAGGGTGAACCTTGCCTTGTTAGGTTAGGAGCCCCATACACTCTGAGTAGGATGAGATTCCTTCAGACCTGGGGAGGAATGACCAGCCCTGTCAACCTGAAACCTGAACTCAGTGCTCTTTGGGTTTTTGTTTGTTTTGTTTTGTTTTTTGCCTGGTTAACTGCTTGTTTAATTTACTAATTGTTTTCATGGTGTATTAATTACTTTCCCATTGCTGTGATAAAACACCATGATCAAGGCAGCTTATAGAAGGAAGGGTTTACTGGGGATTTACAGTTCCAGAGGAATAAGAGTTCATTGTGACCATGAGCAGGAGCCGTGATGGCTGGAGTAGCAAGCTGAGAGCTCACATCCTGAACCACAGGCAGGTAGAAAGAGCAAACTGATAATGTCTTCAGGCTTTGAAGTCTCAAAACTGGCTCCCAGTGATGCACTTCCTTCAGCAAGGCCATACCTCCTAAGCCTCCTTAAACCATACCACTGACTGGGGACCGAGTATTCAAACGCCAAAACCCATGGGGACATTGTCATTCACACCACCACACATGGTTACTGAAATTATCGGCTGGATGATTGGTTAGTTAACTGATCGTCAACAGATTAGGTTTGTTATTGTTTTTGGTCTGTGTGTGTGATGTGCATTTGCGTGTATATGTATATGTGTACATGTTTGTGTGTGTAAATGGGGGCTCATGCATGTCACAGTATGTGTGTAGAGGTCAGGATAATTTCCGGTGTCAGTCCTTGCCTTACACTCTCTCCTGTGGCGGCATGCACCAGGCTAGCTGGTCCATAAGCTTTTGGGGACTCTCTTGTCTCTACCTGCCACTCAACATAGGTGTGCTAAGATTGCAGAATCCAGCTTCATGGGGGTTCTGGGGTTTTGAACTCAGGTCTTCACACCCGCATGGCGTAATGAAATTTAAGTTTCATTATGTAACCCTGGCAGGCCTCAGACTTCCAGAGATCCTCCTGCCTCTGCCTCCTAAATGCTAGGATTAGAGACACGCACCACCACACCTTGATGTCAGTTGATTGTTGTTGGTTTTGATTATTGGTTTTTGTTCCCTTGTTGTTTTTGTTCTGTTTGTTTGTTTTTGAGACAGGGTTTCTCTGTGTAGCTCTGGCTGTCCTGGAACTAGCTTTGTAGACCATGCTGGCCTTGAACTCACAGAGATTCTCCTGCCTCTGCCACCGGAGTGCTGGAATTAAAGGTGTGCACCACTACCACGCCTGACTATTGTTTGTTTTTTGTTTTGTTTGACAAAGTCTCACTAATCTAGGTTGACCTGGAAAGTACACAGCCAAGGATAACCTTGAAGTTCTCTTCCTCCTGCCTCTACCTCCAAAGTGTTGAATTATACAAAGTGTTGAGGATAGAACCAAGGGCTACTTGCACACTAGGCCCCATTCTCCTGAGTTATATCCTTAACCCTAGATCAGTGGTTCTCAATCTGTGGGTCACGACCCTTTTTGCATACCTCTTTCTCCAAAAATATTTACATTATAATTCCTAAGTAAGAAAGTTATAGTTATGAAGTAGCAATAAAAGTAATTTTAGTGTTGAGGGTCACCACAGCGTGAGGAACTGTGTTGAAGGGTGTCACCATTGAGAAGGTTGAGAACCTCTGCTCTGGATATTATCTTTGTTTTGTTGTTGGGTTTTGTTTTTTTTAATGGATGAATAGGCTGATGGATTGTTTCATTTCAGCTCCCCGTTGCCTGGCTGGCTGTGTTTCCCTTGGTAGTGTTTGAGACCCTCTTCGCGCTTAGCCGAGCTGACCCTGTCTTGGTCACCATATCTAATGACCTCTGACCTCGTCTCTCACAGGCACTTGTCCGGCTGCCTCCCCACATCTCACAGTGTGATGAAGTCTTTCGATTCTTTGAGGCCCGACCTGAGGATGTCAACCCCCCCAAAGAGTGAGTAGTGACTGTCCCCGCTTCTGCATGATTGGGAAGTGTGGGCCAAATTGGGCCAATGGGGAGGCTGAGGATGTGCGAACCTAGTAGAGGGAGAGCTAATGCTACCTAAGAAATGCAGAGAATTGCTGTGGATAAGCTCCCTAGTCCACCTGTCATCGCAGGCATACATGTGAGCCCAGTTTATCCAACTTCCAAAATCAGGGAACTTTTTGTCCTTATTTTGCTGCAGTGAACATTTTTACATACACCACACACATTTTTACATACACCACACACATTTTTACATACACCACACACATTTTTA